AAATTTTCCGGAAAAGAGCATTCCAAAAATACCGGTAAATTCTGACATCATTCACCACAAATGAGCTTTAAACGGGTGCGCTTGTATTTGTAAACATTTGACCAAATTACAAACTCTGTGGATGATCAATATTGTGAACAACTTTCGCAGGATCACTTTCGCATGTCGAGATGTTCATAATATGTGCGTGTGCAGGCGCTCACAAGCTGTTTCACAGGCACACGCAAAGCTTGAAGGTAAACAAACAACGGCTTATCATAAGCATCTCATCGATGATTATTTACACAGTTGGCATTAAAGAGAACATATAAACATAATCTGACTAACTTCTAGCAGCTAAATGTGTCTGGAAAAATATTCAAAGGCTTTTATCCTCATAAACCACGCGGACGTGAATGCGTCTGACTGTTGTGATTGGCTAAAGAAGACGTCTCACGTCAGCACGTTCTAGACGTGTACGCGCTTTTTCCAGCAATCTTCCTTCTGCATTCACACAGCGCAGCATTCCAGCAAATTGCCGGTAATGTTACAACTTCTCTTTCTGGAAAATAGCCAGAACAAATTTACCGGTATTTTCAAAAAGGACCTGTCCAAAAAGGAAATTTGGGCGCTCAAGTGACCGAGATGTAAGTGAGAGAATATGGTCATTTTTCAAAATAAAAGATTATTTTAAATAAAAAATGACTCAGAGGATAAATAAAATGGAAATAATTAATGATTTCATGTGGGGGCCAATGCCAACTGATCCGGCCTGGTGGTTTAGGAATACTGTTGTAAATTACAGTACAAAATCCTGCTAATAAACGGCCACTGTAGTAGCTACTTTAGCTTTTATGTTATGGACTGAACTCTCTAAATTTACAACACAAGTTCATTTATCACTATGGAGTCATATCTGCAAGTGTGATGTTAAAATGTATGGGGAGGCTCAACAAATGGTAATAATAATCATTTCAGAACGTTTTAAATATATCTATATATATATATATCTATATATATATATATATATATATATATATATATATATATATATATATATATATATATATATATATATATATATATATATATATATATATATAAAATTAGACAACAAAAGATTAGAGTAGAAGAGCACTTTGGCCATTGTTCATTTATGTTACCTTGTCTTAGGATCACAAGTCTTGTTTAAATAGGGACCATGCCATAATTGGGGGCTCGTCCGGGATGATACCACCAAAACTGTTATTGTTTTAACTATTTGAACCACATGGCACTTGTAGCTATCACTATATGATCACTATCAATATCACAGAGTTGTTTCCAGGTAATGTAAGAATTGATCAAATTAAATCTTAAGTGCATCAAACATTTATTATTAATACCCTGTTTACTACTCGCCTGTAGGCGGATTACACTGTTGCCACACGTGTTTTACAGCATGGATGTATTAATGCTCCCTGAACCATTTTAGATAGCGAACAGGATAAAACAGTATTTAGCAAGAGATCAAGCCACTCTAGTAGTTAAAATTAGACCCGGTCAGCGCAGGAGGTTTATCTACACCTCCTCCAACAACACCACCAACGTTTGTTATTATTTGTTTTTATAATGTCTGCAATCGCTTACAGTCAAAGCTCAGACCTCACTCAGCCCTATTAGCATAACGTCAGGAAAATGAAAAGCCATTGGCGACTATAACGGGATTAAGGAGTCTTGAATGAGGAGCAGCCCGCGGTGAAGCAGCGCTGACGGGACAGGGCCTTTCCTTTTGTCGGTTACTTGCCTTCAGATAATCCTCAACTATTCTCACCAACGACCTTGAGCTCAATGCTAATCCAGAGAGAGAGAGAGAAAGTGTGTGTGTGTGTTTGAGCCTCCAGAAGCGGATTCTGTCGTGTTATGGAGGGTTCAGATGAAGAAAAGCGTCTGTCTAATGGTGAGTTTCTTACTTTTAATTTGTTAAATCTGTTTTATTGTTGTTTTAGCAGTTGTTAGGATGTGGCATGTGGGTTTTGGGAAGTATACAGTAGAGTTTGTGTTGCTTCAGAGAACACTGATGTTGCATTGATGTGAAGGGGAAATGCAATGGTTTGCATGCAAAAGTGAGCAACGCTATCAACTTTAAACCTTTGTTCTTTGACGTAATTATTTGTTAGCCAATCAGAATTTCAGATATGCTTGTTGGTGTTGTAGTTGTTGTTGTTTTTTTAGGAAAACTTTTGTTTAGTCTGAATCACATGATTTCAATTAATTCTCGAATACAATACATTGTTACATACATTCATACATATATACAATTGAAACCAGACGTTTACATACACTGTCTGATGGTAAATCACACTAAACGTTCACTACTTTAGGTCCGTTAGGATTACTTAAATGATTAACATTTGCTAAATGTCATAATAATGAGATAAATTGTTTTTTGAGAATTTTTATTAATTTCTAGACAGTCAAAAGTTTACATACATTTCCTTGGTATTTTCTAGCTTTGCTTTTAAACTGTATAACTTTGGTCAAATGTTTTGGGTATCCTTCCAAAAGCTTCTCACAATAGTTTGAAGGAATTTTGGCCCATTCCTCCTGACAGAATTGGTGTAACTGAGTCAGATTTGTTGGCTGTCTTGTTCGCTCAAGCTTTTTCAACTCTGCCCACAAATTTTTTATAGGATTGAGATCGGGGCTTTGTGATGGCCACTCCAAAACGTTCCCTCTGTTGTCCTTAAAGCACATTTAAACTAATTTGGCAGTATGCTTAGTGTCATGGACTGTTTGGAAGACTCATTTGTGGCCAAGTTTTAATTTCCTGGCTGATTCCTTGAGATGTTGCTTCAGTATTTCTACATAATGTTCTTTCTTCATGATGCCATCTATGCTGTGAAGTGGACCAGTCCCTCCTGCAGCAAAACAGCCCCACAACATGATGCTGCCACCCCCATACTTCACAGTTGGGATGGTGTTCCTAGGCTTGTAAGCTTTCCCCTTTGTCCTCTAAATGTAACACTGGTCGTTATGCCCAAACAGTTCAATCTTAATTCCATCAGAGCACAGGACATGTCTTCAAAAATGATTCCTGTTCCCAGTGTAATTTAGCTAACTGTTTTCTGGCTTTTTTGTGGATTCTGGCTTGTTGATTTTACCATGTTTTCACACAAGGAAGCCGTGTGTTTGAGGTTTTCCTTAAATACTATTCTACAGTTGTGCCTCCTATGTTGTCTTAAATGTTGTCAATTAGCCAATCAGAAACTTCCAAAACCTTGACACCATCATCTGAGCTTTTTCAGTGGTATGATAATATTATTGTATGTAAACTTGACTTTCAAGAAAAGTTTTAACAATTTCTCAAAAAATCTCTCTCATTATTCCGCTATTTAGCATAACAGAAATAAATGTGATAATGCTAACTTACCTAAAAGAGAAAAAAGTTTAGTTACATTAACATCTGACTTTTTAAAATGGTTATGTGCCTTTTTATACAGCGTTTGTAAACAGTTGTGCTGGTTAATGCTTTCGTGGAGGTCTTGGATCGTCTTTAGCATACATTCATTCAATTTCTTTTCGGCTTAGTCCCTTAATTAATCAGGGGTTGACACAGCGGAATGAACCGCCAACTTATCCAGCATATGTTTTACACAGTGGATGCCCTTCCAGCGGCAACCAAACTCTGGGAAACACCAATACACTCTTACATTCACATACATACACTACGGCCAATTTAGCTTATTGATGAAACCAAAGCACTCGGAGGAAACCGACGCCAACAAGGGGAGAACATGCAAACTCCACACAGAAATGCCAACTGACCCAGCTGGGGCTTGAACCAGTAACCTTCTTGCTATGAGGCAATTGGCCACTGTGACGCCCCGTCATTAGGATTACAGACTTGATCTGAATTGCTGTCAATTAAAATATGTGACACAATCATTTTATTTTATATTTTTGTTTTTCATATATCTTCATTTTATCTTTAATTTTATTATAGAGCAATTTTATCATGATTAAAATGTATTTCTTTTTTAATCTTTTTTTAAATTATATTTTATTTTTATTATTTATATGTTATTATTTTTTATTATTCCATGTCCCATGAGCCAGTTTCTGTGACCGACAATCAGATTGTCATGGTCCGAACCTTCCACCACCACCTGTTCCACAATGCACCTGCCCCTTATGGCTCCCCTTGCAGGTGGTGGGCCTGCAGGAGGATGGTCCCACATCGGTCCTTCGGGCTGAGCCTGGCTGGGTTTTGTGGGATAAAACCCAGCCATTAGGCACTTGCATACACGCCCTAACCCCAGGTGGAAAAGTTCAAGTATCTTAGGGTTTTGTTCACAAGTGAGGGAAGAATAGAGCGTGAGATTGACAGGCAGACTGGTGCAGCGGCAGCAGTGATGCAGTTGATGTACCGGTTTGTTGTGGTAAGGAAGGAGCTGAGCTGAAATGCAAAGCTTTAGCTTTACTGGTCAATCTACGTACCTACTCTCACCTATGGTCATGCCGAATGGAGAAGATCTCGGATACAAGCGACCAAAATATGTGAGCGATCTGCAGAGTGGCAGAGCGCACCCTTATGGATAGGGTGAGGAGCTCTGTCACCCGGGAGGAGCTCAGAGTAGAGCTGCTGCTCCTCCACATTGAGAGAAGTCAGCTGAGGCGGCTCGGGCATCTGTTTCGAATGCCTCCTGGACGCCTACCTAGGGAGGTGTTCCAGGCATGTCCCACCGGGAGGAGGCCTCTGGGAAGACCCAGGACACGCTGAAGGCACTATGTCTGGGTCTGCCTCGGGATCCCCCCCGAGGAGCTAGAGGAAATATCTGGAAAAGGGAAGTCTGGAGTTCTCTCCTGAGACTGCTGCCCCCTTCGCCCGTCCCTGGAAAAGTGCATGAAAATGTACGAAATAATTATTTTTGTTTTTTTTTGTTTTAAAGTTTCATTTTTATTGTTTAAAACTTTTTTTTTAATTTTATTTACATTTTGTTCTATGTCTGGTTGAAGTATTTGAACTGGAAGTCGATTCCTTGATTCCGAGGCATTACGAATCGAGAAGTTCAGAATAGATTCCATAAATTGATACATGACAGTGAACATGACATGGCTTAAAGGACAATTAACAGACAACAAAAAAGAAAAGGGGAAAAAAGGTAATAATTATAATATTATATGTAATCAAACAGTTTTGATCCAATAAAACCTCCAAAACAAGTTATTACTTGTTTTGAAAAAGAAAACGGGTGTTAGTCGTTAATTTGAGATTATCATATTTATATATCATTCACTCATTCATTCATTTTCCTTCGGCCTAGTCCCTTTATTCATCAGGGGTAGCCACAGCGGAATGAACTGCCAACTCACCCAGCATATGTTTTACACTACGGCCAATTTAGTTTATTCAATTCACTTATAGCGCATGTCTTGGACTGTGCACCCAGAGTAAACCCACGCCAACACGGAGAGAACATGCAAACTCCACACAGAAACGCCAGCTCAACAGCTGGGACTCGAACCAGCAACCTTCTTGCTGTGAGGCGTCAGGGCTAACCACTGAGCCACCGTGTCACCCCTATATTAATGTAATAATTTTCTCATCTCAGGCATACTGTAAATAATACTTTGCTCATTCAGTGTCTCTTGGTTGTTTGTTGTCGTGTCAGGAGGTGTTTGCTGAGGAATGATCGGCCTCAGGAGCTGCAGTCATGTACATTGAGGACTCAGCTAATGGGCTCAGCTCTGCTCCGGACTCTGTGCTACAGGTCAATCCTGACACAGAGAGCTCCACAGATCCGCTACCGGACCCAGTGTCCCCCAACGGGACCTTCAGGTGAGTCTCACGCATTCAGACCAGCTGCCTGAAGTATCTGTAGAACTTGGAATCAATTCCAAAATAGAACTGATTCCGAGGATTTCAGAATGGAGAGTCGATTCCAAAGTTCAGAATAGAATCCATAAGGGCAATTGACTCCTCTTTTCAGTTGAAAAGAACTCAATAATACTATGCACAATTTTAGAAAAAACAATATTGCAATATTTTTTTTTATTCTGCGATATACCCTTACCGGCCACTTTATTAGGTACACCCAGAGTTCAACGCTTGGAATTTTTTTACTGGCCTGGGGTACGTTTCCCAAACAACGATGAAACTCGTGGCTGAACTATCATAGTACGATGCATCAGTTGGGAAAATAACAATGTAGTGACGAGTGTTTCCCAAAACTTGTAGTTTCTCTGTCGCAGTTCCATCATTTGTATCAACGTTAGTTATAACGTCCAACGTCCATAATGATGCTCTAAACGGGGTGGGGTAACTACTTCTTTAGAGAAGAACCCCATAATGTATATTGTTTTACACGCACATGCATTTAAAAAAAAATCCAATATTAGTTTTGCTAAAAACATGCACTCACTTTCCATATTAATTGAAATATATGTCAATGGCACATATAGGGCCTGTGTTTCCTTTACAAATATTATTGAGAATATGACATAGTCTATTATAAAACATAATATCACCTACAAAAGCCAACACATATTCTTATATCATATATAAATATTTATACAACAGTTCTGTCTGGTTCTCAAATCTGATATTCTGCAATAGAACTCCTACAGCCTCTTTACCCTTTGTGTATTACTCCGCCCACATACAGCCAGCAAAAAGCAGACACCACAGATCTAAAGTTTAAAAGATGCACGCTCAACTGTTTAACTGTCAGCTTATGATTTGAATCCGGAAGAAAGTAGTTCCTCATACAAAAGGGTTTTTGAGACTCTCCATGTTCGATTTTGTTTTTATATACACAATTATGCCGTCAAACTGTTGTATAAACGCAATATCACATATTATAGATATTGCTCATATAAATAATTAGGCAATTTATTAAGAAATGAAATTTAATATTTATTATTTATTGTGAAATGAAAAAAAGTCCTACTTTAATAATAATATCAATAATGATGATGATGATGATTATTATTATTAGTACTATTATTGTTATTAAAGTTGGATATTGCTTGTTTATTTATTTATTTTTGGAAATGTCTACTTTTACAATTTGACACATGCAAACCACTTCAGAAATGTTCTAACCAGCAGGCCCATGTCATATACAGGACAGATACTTAATAAATAACCTACTATAAATTAAAAGCATTAAGATATTCTATATATTTTGTTTCCACAAGCTTTGGAGATGTAACATAAACTCTGCTTTTAAATAATAGGTCACCTATAGCTTTCGTCATGAGCAACGGCTGTGTTCAAAATGACATCAATGTTTTAAAAGTGCACTGCGAAGGGAGCACAATTGTAAACATGAAGATTGCTAAAACTGAACTGTAAAAATAGTTAGAAAGCAAATTACATCTAAGACAGATGACCTTTTTTTTTATTTTTAATCATTCCAACTTTGAATGTTAGAATGTTCTAAATGAATAGGGCATAGAGGGGGATAACTGGGTATAGAGCACAGCCAGAAACTGTTTCCAACTACAGCTCCAGAGCTGTAGTTGCGAGTGCTCAATTTTACAAACTATGTTTGTAAAGACGGAACTTGCAACCTTAGTTTAGGATGGTTTAGGAAACGCTGGTTTGTTAAATAAAATGATAAAATACTTGAAAAAAAGCAAAATATTCACACTTTCAAATAATTGTGATAAAAAAACAAAGAGTAGCCTATGTTTAACTCTTTTCATGGTTAAGGACAAAATAATATTTAGCGAGAGTCAGTGTCAGTTTAAAACAATATGAAAATAGATATTCACAACTATTAATATAGGCTCTAGAGAATTAAATAAAGTGACAAGTTCTTTACCCTGTGGGTCCGCTGGTTATGAGACAACCCTTGCATCACTAATGCTCACCAGACATGCACATTCGCATTTTATTTAAAATGAAACTATTCTGATGGCGCTCTGTGGTGCGGCAGAAATATGAACAGTG